TCATTTGTCTTTACTGTTTAGTTTTGGTATGTCTCTGGTAGTCATTTGGTTTTACTGTTTAGTTTTGGTATGTCTCTGGTAGACATTTGGCTTTACTTTTGGTTTGTCTCTGGTAGACAATCGGCTTTACTGTTTAGTTTTGGTTTGTCTCTGGTAGACATTTGTCCTTACTGTTTAGTTTTGGTATGTCTCTGGTAGTCATTTGGTTTTACTGTTTAGTTTTGGTATGTCTCTGGTAGACATTTGGCTTTACTTTTGGTTTGTCTCTGGTAGACATTTGTCTTTACTTTTGGTTTGTCTCTGGTAGACATTTGGCTTTACTGTTTAGTTTTGGTATGTCTCTGGTAGACATTTGGCTTTACTTTTGGTTTGTCTCTGGTAGACATTTGTCTTTACTTTTGGTTTGTCTCTGGTAGACATTTGGCTTTACTGTTTAGTTTTGGTATGTCTCTGGTAGACATTTGGCTTTACTTTTGGTTTGTCTCTGGTAGTCATTTGGTTTTGGTTTGACTGTAGGCATTTTGCTTATTCTTTAGTTTTGGATGTGGTAGCTGTTAGGCTGCACTGATAACTTTTGGTTTGACTTCAGTTGTCACTTTATTCCACTGGTGACTTGTAGTTCACTGATACCATTTTCTTTGGTTGTGGTAGCTGTTAGGCTGCACTGATAACTTTTGGTTTGACTTCAGTTGTCACTTTATTCCACTGGTGACTTGTAGTTCACTGATACCATTTTCTTTGCATGTGGAGTATTTCTAAATTTATTGTGAGAGGTAAAAACTCGTTCTTGCTGAATTGTCTATACATATATATATATATAGCTTGTTAGATTTAAATATTGAAAACTTAATGATGTGTTAGAACTATGATAGATATGTTGAACAGTATATAAGAAGTATACATTCTGTCAAACCTAATCTGATGAGTGTACGTATTTCTTCCTTTCCAAAACTTGTAGGCCACAAATATTAATTTACAACATTTTTTTGTATATTATTGATTGCAGCATTTAGACTACAAGAAGATATATAACTCTATGCTGAAACCTGCATTTATATTTGATGGAAGAAAAATCCTAAATGTGGATGAGCTACTTGCTATTGGATTTCAAGTTGAAACAGTAGGTCGAAGAACCACTTGAAGTAACGTCCACAGAGGTGTTGCTGACTGTATCTTATAACAAACTTGTTCAAGAAACAAGGGATTACATATTGTAATGGTAAGTCGAAGAACCACTTGAAGTAACATCAACAGTTGTTGAATAAATCGTGGTCCTTTAATTGTGTTAGTTATGTTGTAATGCCTAATTTTCAAACTTGTGTTCCTTTAATTGTGTTAGTTATGTTGTAACGTGTGATTTTAAAATCCTTGGACCTTCTTTTAAATAAATGTTTCTTTGTTGGTTTATGATGAAAGTTTTTATGTGTTTGTATACGATGGAGTTTTAACTATCATACACATACATTTCAGGTACTTTATTCAAATTGTTATTCTACTCAATGTAATTGGAATGTTTTCTAGAGCACGGCTTTTTGTTACATTAAGAGTGATAAACATATTTGAGTTACATAAAGTATTTGTACCAGAATATCTTATTTTATCTATTGTAATGGTGCATATTGATCAGTTTCTGTGTGTTAAAAACTTAACAGTTAGAAATTTCAAGCTGCTTGAGAAACAACAAGTTATACTTAGTTCATAGAAGATTTTTATATTACTGCAATTTCATTATACAAAACTATCTTACAGAATATCCATTTGTGACCAGAAAACAAAGATTCTCTTCTTTAAAGAATCAACCAGTGTGATTTCTATGCTGCACCAGGAGATAAGATAGTCGATGCACGTAAATGACTTTTCCAGCTTAATTGGGGGGTGGGAATATTCTCTGGTTTATAGATTTCACATTATGTTGTTCCTAATATCACATTAACTTTATATTTTATTTCACTGTTTTTGTATTTTTATGCATCTGTTGACATCACATTGTAAAATAATGTTTATTAAAGTAAAATTGTATAATCATTATTGCTTCTGTTATGTTGGTTAATTTGTTTCAGCAACTACGTGTACAACTTCACAGAATTAAACTAAGGCTTTTTATAAAAAACGACAATGTTTTCATCTAAGGTGCATCTTATGATTCCACTCTTGAGACAATACAGTAAACGTAACTCCATTTAAACTGACATTTACAAGGTAAGGTAATATGTAACTGTTTAAACCCTATAGCAATAGAACTTCAAGTCCTTCCCATACTTATACCAAAGAGCTTTAAACACTTCACTTAGTGTATGTGTGTAAACCTTGTAGCAAGACATCTTCAAACACTTCACTTAGTGTATGTGTGTAAACCTTGTAGCAAAACATCTTCAAACACTTCACTTAGTGTGCATGTGTAGATCTTGTAGCAAGACATCTTCAAACACTTTGCTTAGTGTAGGTGTGTAAACCTTGTAGCAAAACATCTTCAAACACTTCACTTAGTGTAGGTGTGTAAACCTTGTAGCAAGACATCTTCAAACACTTCACTTAGTGTAGGTGTGTAAACCTTGTAGCAAGACATCTTCAAACACTTCACTTAGTGTAGGTGTGTAAACCTTGTAGCAAGACATCTTCAAACACTTCACTTAGTGTACACATGTAAACCTTGTAGCAAAACATCTTCAAACACTTCACTTAGTGTGCATGTGTAGATCTTGTAGCAAGACATCTTCAAACACTTTGCTTAGTGTAGGTGTGTAAACCTTGTAGCAAAACATCTTCAAACACTTCACTTAGTGTATGTGTGTAAACCTTGTAGCAAGACATCTTCAAACACTTCACTTAGTGTACACATGTAAACCTTGTAGCAAGACATCTTCAATCACTTCACTTAGCGTAGGTGTGTAAACCTTGTAGCAAGACATCTTCAATCACTTCACTTACTGCAGGTGTGAAAACCTTGTAGCAAGACATCTTCAATCACTTCACTTAGCATAGGTGTGTAAACCTTGTAGCAAGACATCTTTAATCACTTCACTTACTGCAGGTGTGAAAACCTTGTAGCAAGACATCTTCAAACACTTCACTTAGTGTAGGTGTGTAAACCTTGTAGCAAGACATCTTCAAACACTTCACTTAGTGTAGGTGTGTAAACCTTGTAGCAAGATAGCTTCAAACACTTCACTTAGTGTACACATGTAAACCTTGTAGCAAAACATCTTCAGACACTTTACTTAGTGTAGGTGCGTAAACCTTGTAGCAAGACATCTTCAAACACTTCACTTAGTGTACACATGTAAACCTTGTAGCAAGACAGCTTCAAACACTTCACTTAGTGTACATGTGTTGACCTTGTAGCAAGACATCTTCAAACACTTCTTTGGTGAGTTTTATTTGAAAATGTTTTATTTTTACCTTATGTTTGAAATATCACAACTTTAAGTAATGTGAGTTAAAAAGAAGCTGTCTTCTATTGTATAACATATAACAGTCGTAACTTAGATACACTTTTCCAAATTTTATAATAAATCCATTCCTAACAAGTTTTTTCTTCTTCTGATGTAAAATGATTACTACAAAATTGGAGTAAAAATACATCAAAATTAGGAAAATTACTGCCACTAAAAGCAGGAGAATGCATAAAATATAATCCGGAACCCAAGAGTTTCCAGGTTCATAAGGCAAGCCCTGGACTCCAGCTGTAATGGGTGCACATTCACTAGACGGGCTTGGTCAAACAAACCTGCCTCCCTACTTTTAAGTTTCTTCCTACACTTCTGTAGAAGTAAGATTGAAACATATGATCCCTAGATATATTATAAATATATGGCAATTTTATAAATAAAGCATAGTTGAAAATACAAATAAAATTTTTTTTGGAGAGTTTTTGCATTTTGAAAAAACAAAAACACATTGGTACATTATTTTGGATAGAACATGTTATACAAGTCAAAATTTTGCCGCTGGAATCGTTAAACATGCCTAATATATAGATTGACCCCTTCTTAAATAGTGTGGTATTCTCAGATGCACTGATTTCACTTGAAATAAACAGGATAATACTTTATAAAGACTAAAGTTCTGACTTTTCCCACTCTGACAGACAACACAAAATTATAGAAACCAACGATCTTTAAACAACACAATCGAAATTAAATGTCAAACACTGGAAAGTTTTTCTGTTACAAATGGACAAAAAAGAGGTCTTTTATTAGGCCCTTCTCAAAGGGCTGAACTTAGACTGTGAAACAAAAAAGTGTAAATAGATGTTTTAAAAAAAGCTGTAACCTAAAATACTAGTTTCAAGAGTTGGAAACTATTTGAATGTCAGAAATAAACCTGTTGATTAGTAAAAAATCGTAAAAATTGAAAAAAAAAAAGATTGTAATATATGTTAACATATTCTTTCTCTCTCTCATAAGTGTACAAGCTATCCATGTGACAGGCCCGGCATGGCAAGGTGGTTAGGGCACTCGACTCACAATCTGAGGGTCACGGCTTCGAATCCCCGTCCCACCAAACATGCTCGCCCTTTTAACCGTGGGGGCGTTATAATGTGACGGTCAATCCCACTATTTGTTGGTAAAAGAGTAGCCCAAGAGTTGGCAGTGGGTGGTGATGACTAGCTGCCTTCCCTCTAGTCTTACACTGCTAGATTAGGAATGGCTAGCGCAGATAGCCCTCGTGTAGCTTTGCGCGAAATTCAAAACAAACAAACCATGTGACAGTCTTTGGTGAATCACTATATCAAAGACTAGTTATTCACATGATGACTCACTCTGTCTTGTGAATAACTAAATTAGTGTTTTTCTAGGATTTTATTATTTGGCTGAGATGTAAAATCACATTTTCATATTTTTCTAATAGACAATAATTTTTACTTATTTATTTATTTTTATTTTATTTTTTGCTGTTAAGCAGAAACTACACAATGGACTATCTGTGCTGTTATCACCAGGGTGTCCAAAACCGGTTTTTAGCATTACAAGACTTCAGACTTACCATTGAGACTTCAAGACATTTTAATAAGCCTCTGACTGCATTACAGTGAAAATAAAACACGTCTATTGAAAATTCATTTTTTTTTGTGGTACAGAAGGGTACAATATCATGTTTTTTGTCCCTTAGTTACTATGTAAAATTTTCAAAATTTCAGTGTATTTCATTTTGGTTTCACATTACCACAAGGTTAGGAAGGAGCCACTAAGTTTCATCAAGGTCAGCCAACTAATAAAACCCTAAAATCACATTGTAATCAGGTCAGCCAATAATAAAACCCTAAAATCACATTGTAATCAGGTCAGCCAACTAATAATACCCTAGAAACACATTGTAATCAGGTCAGCCAAATAATAAAACCCTAAAATCACATTGTAATCAGGTCAGCCTACTAATAAAACCCTAAAAACACATTGTAATCAGGTCAGCCAAATAATAATACCCTAGAAACACATTGTAATCAGGTCAGCCAACTAATAAAACCCTAGAAACACGTGGAGTCAGTCGGATAATTAAGTTAATCAGAGGTAAAGCACTCATGATGCTAGGAAAACACTACGTACAACAAATCACTTTAACACAGTTACGAAACCCCGAGCACTTTCGAATAGAGCACCTTTCTTCTTCAGAGGCCTGTGTTACAGGAGCACCTTTCTTCTTCAGAGGCCTGTGTCACAATTGTTGTGTCATTGAAACCGGCTGCTAAATTCCGACTCGTGTGTTTTCAGGAATGGAATTTTACCTTTATCTGTGCTTTCTTTTAAACAGTTGGCTTGGCATGAGGCGCTCGACTCGCAAGCTGAGGGTCGTATCTGTGCTTTCTTTTAAACAGTTGGCTTGGCATGAGGCGCTCGACTCGCAAGCTGAGGGTCGCGGGTTCTAATTCCATCTCCGAACATGCCCATTTAGCCGTAGGAGCGTTATAATGTGACAGTTAATAACACTGTACATTGGTAAAATAGTTGGTGGTGGGTCGTGTTAAATAGCAGCCCTCCCTATAGTCTATCACTACTAAATTAAGAATGGCTAGCACAGTTAGTCCTCGTATAGCTTTGGCAGCCCGCCCTATAGTCTATCACTACTAAATTAAGAATGGCTAGCACAGTTAGTCCTCGTATAGCTTTGGCAGCCCGCCCTATAGTCTATCACTACTAAATTAAGAATGGCTAGCACAGTTAGTCCTCGTATAGCTTTACGCGAACTTCAAAACCACATCAGTCATTTAAATAGTTTTATATTTTCTTCCTTTGTTAGTTTTTCTACATACGTTTATGTTATACAATACAAGTACAAACACGTTCACACAATTGTTAATATATCTCGCTCTAGCGGTTTCTTAATCTTCATGAAAGCCACTCATAGTAACGATCATAGTGTCTGTACTATTCTGCATGATTATTTCCGCTGCTATGTACAGATTATTTCAGCACGTGTAGTAACGTGTTCAATTTACAGGACATCGGTACAATAGGTTCTTCGTTAATTAACATTTAAGTCCTACGTATCTTGTTATTTTCTGGAAAACATTAAATATACACATCTCTTTATTAATTATTATATAAAAATCACAACAAATCCATGAACAGTCAGTAATATTAAACTACAATACTTCTCAATCAGTTGTGTGGTTGCCATTTTTTCTTGAGAAAATATAATTTGTATTTACCATGTGTATGAGTTTCCTTTGGTGAAATAAAAAATATACCTTTGGTAATAGTAATGATGTTTGTAAAGAAAGCCAATAGATGACACTACAAAATTAGGTGGAAACCGGAGTTTAATTAAAAACGAAAACAGTATGTCTGCTCGTTTGTTAATTTTCGGTATAAATTCTTTCCGAGGAACTTCAGCGATACAAGTCCTTTCTTAATTAAAACTAGTTTATTATTTCTTGATACAACTTTTTAGTAATACATAGAATTTCCACAGTCACTTTTAGACTTAACTACTTTTATAACACACGCTATAAATCTCTTACGGTGCTTACTGTTCGCTTGACTCAATTATCAATCTCT